GTTCAAATCGCCGCATCTGGCAGCATGGCTCCTGAAGTCACCGCCCGCTGCGCCAAGGCCCGCGCCGCCCTCAGGCCCATCAAGGCCACCATTGGCCCGAGAGAGGGCCTCTCACTGCGCTCTAAAGTGCTTTATTCTGAGGCTTTGTCTTCGCCGGTCCTGCATTATGCAGTGGCCATTTGGCCTACCATCACTGCTGCCCAAGCTAGACATATGTGCACGGCGCACATGGCGGTATACCGAGCAGCGTTGAATCTTTCAAGCACCAACAACGCCAATGATCATGCTCTTTCTGCTCTGGTCTTGTTTGATACTCAGAGATTTCCGCAAACCATTGTCATGACCATTGCGAGGCTCCGTTATCTTGCACGCATGCTCACCCATGCCCCCCCCACTCATTAGGGTATTAGTAGATATAACATGGGATGATCCCCGAGGATGGGCGCACCAGCTACAGGCGGATTATGATTGGCTTTTGTTCCACACTGACCCAGCCCGCCGTCCTACCGACACCACATCTCCTGGACTGATCCGATTTGCTATGGATAATCCCCGCGCCTACCGCTCCCTCATTTGTTCAGCCATTTGTCATGCTAAGCCACATGTTCAGGACGACATGCACAGAGTTATTTGGGAGAGAGAGCTCCGAATGGCCGCTCAGGGAACCCCCCTTTGTGACGCGCCCCCGTCGGTCTCACTCTTTAAGTGCCCCCACTGTACTCATACCACAGCTAGTGAGCAGGCCCTTTTGGCACACATGGGGAAATTTCACAAAACGCCCGAGGCCCCGACGGCCATCGTAGTAGGATCTGTTTGCCAAAACTGCCTGAAACAGTTCAGTGATGTAGCAAGACTCACTCAGCATCTTCGTAACGCCCCCACATGTCGCGTTTCCTGGAGCAGGTCAGGCTACGCAGCAGGTCCAGCTCACCAAGGCGAGCTGGCCCAGGCACGTGAAGAAGCTCGCCAAGTAGCAGCCGACAAACGATCCAAGGGGAGGCCGGCCAACTTTGCGTCATCCCCCCCCGTCCAGCTCGAGGGACCACCAGTTGGACCTCGCATCGTTGTCTCGCGCAAGCAGGCCAAGCTTGAGGCCCCAGTTCTACAGGTCCTCCCTCCCCCTCCGCCTCCTGACCCCTCCGCTTTCTCCCCGAGGCCCCTGCCCATTCGGCCAGTTAAGTATATCCTTCACCTGTTCTCAGGATTCAGGCGTGAGCGAGATTTCCAGTGGCATTTAGAGGCTATGATAAAGGACCTCCCCACTAACGTTATTGTGCTTAGTATTGACGTTGTCAACCATGCAACGCACGGCGATCTCACTGCTCCTGCCACCATACGTTTGTGGTCCTTAATGTTGCGCTCTGGGCGTGTCGCTGGAATTCTCGCTGGCCCGCCGTGCGAGACATGGTCCTCGGCTCGTCACCTGCCCGTCCTCGAGGACGCCCCAGGGGGGAGGAAGCCGCCCCGCCCCCTTCGTTCTACCCAGCATTTATGGGGACTAGGCCACCTCAGTGCCAGAGAGCGCGAGCAGGTGCGACTAGGAAACATTCTCCTACGCACCACCATTCGTTTCCTCTACGAGGCCTGGACGTTCGGGATCCCTGCTTTGATGGAGCACCCCTCCCTTAACACCCGCGTCCCTGAGGCTCCCAGCTCCTGGTTGCTACCCCAACTTCGCAGGCTCGAGGGGCTCCCTGGGGTTAAGGCTCACCACATTCATCAGTGCATGTTCGGGGGCCAGGGGCTGAAACCCACTACGCTCCTCGCGGTTCACGTTCCAGCTATGGGGGCCATCCTGGAGGCCAAGCAAGGCCGTGGTAGGTGCATTCACGCGAGGCCACATAGGGGGTTCTGGGGGGTAGGCAATGATGGACTCTGGCGCACTGCTCACCTCAAGACCTACCCGAGTCGCCTGTGCCTGTTTTTGGCTGCCAGCTTCCTTGAGGAGACCCGCTCTAGGTTCCCCGAACTGTGCCTGGGCCCTGGACACCCTCCTCCCTTGTCCCCTGCTGCTGTCAGGCCACCACTCGCGTGGACCCTCAACGACGAACGAGCGTTAAGGGCGTTGGTGGACCTCGGCGATACTTGTGACGGGTGGAGTGTGCCGACAGGGTTACGGCAGTTCTCGGCACCGTGGGACCCCTACTTGGTCCAGGGCATCAGTATGGATTGTATGTTGCATCGGACGGCCACGGATCCCAACTTGTGACGTGCACCGGCCCTCCTCTCTCTTTGCCTGTGTGCTTGTTCATTTGTTCATCTATTTGTTCTTTATTGTTGAGTTGCAGAGCTGCTTGCCCTATGCCAGCAGCGTTGTGTTTCAGTGAAGGGCTCTACGTGAAGGGATGCCGAGCCCAACCACAGGCTCCGCAGGGTGCGCCGCCCTCTTGGCAGTAACGATAGAGCATGCTCGGCGGTCATCGCCCAGCTTCGCCTCAGGCAGTAACTGGTTTCACTCCGTGGGGGAAGGCTCTCCTTTTCCATCTCTATATTTCCTCCCCTTTTCCTTACTTAAGTGTCCATCAGCTTTAAGTGATAGTACCCCTGCTTGCACTTACAGGTGCAGGCTGCGCCGAGAGCGCCTGGCAGTTCAGTCCACCTCCGCGGTTGCTGTTGCTGCCTGCTGTCATTCTTCACCCAGCGTTCTTCTCGCCCTTTCTCTCACCATCATTGGCTTCGACTCTCCGCCATTCGACCGAACCGAACCGAACCGAGGAGGAGGAGGATGAGGACGGGGAGGAGGATGACGAGGGGGATGAGGAGGACGAGGAGGAGCAGGAGGGGGAGGAGGAGGAGGAGAAGGAGGAGGAAGAGGAGGAGGAGGAGGAGAAGGAGGAGGAGGAGAAGGAAGAGGAAGAGGGGGATGAGGAGGAAGAAGAGTAGGAGAAGGATAGTGAGGAGAAGGAGGGGAGGAGGAAGAGGATGATGGTGGATTGGGCATTGCACCTCGGAGGGTCGGGGAAGCACCCATGCAGGGCAATGGTCGAAATCTCTGGGCAGAGCGGCATGCAATTCAACAGGCCCAGGCGTGAACAAATCGGCCGAGCGGTCCTGGTCAAGCAAGCGGGGAAGCCGAAAGCGGACGCAATGGGGGAGGGACGAAGGCGCGACAAGCGGAAGGCAAGGAACGGGGAAGGAGTAGCGCCGAGAGGGAAGCGACCCAACTCGACGTCTCCAAATACAATTCTGAGCGCTGCAAGCTCAGCTACGCGATGCTGACCGCCTGCCCCTCGCGTGGAAAAGGGGGCCACACCGAGCATCACATGGCAGAGGGGCGCGATAATCAACGGCGGCATCATCAACGCATGCAATGGAAAGAGGATGCCACACAGCGAGTACTCAGAGAAACTCCTTTTTGGTGACGCGACCTCGGAATGCCGCAAGACGGTCCAGCAGGACCGCGAGGCCATCGGAGACGGGCGGCTGTCATCTTGCGCTTGACTGACTGGGCAGTGCTCTCATCTCAAGGAGCATGCCCGCTATCTCGCGGAGGAGTCCACCCGCAGCCTGACGAGATGCAGGGTCGTCCACCAGGGCCGCCGTGCGCGTCCTCGTCGCCAGGGCGTGTCCACGAAGCTGGGCGAGCTGCTCCTGGTGGTCCATGCCCTCCTCCGCCAGGGTGTTCAGCACGATTAGGGTGCCGCTCATGAGGTGCGGCTGGCGGGCCAAGACGCGCGGGACCAGCTCGCGGTACACCTGGATCCTGTTGGTCATCTTCATGAAGTAACGCTCCTCCGCGTGCTTGATCAACTCCTCCCAAGCCTCCGTGGCCAGGTGAATGCGCTCTGCGGACACCTCCGAAGCACCGGGCGTGTCGGTCTTGCCGACAGTGGGCTCCTCCTTGGCATCCTCGATGACTGCGTCGTAGGTGGTCGCGCTGCTGGACGGCGGCATGTGCTGGTCGCCTTCGTTCTTGGTGTCCTGGTTCTTGCTGAGCGTCATTTCGTCGCTGATGGTGGGAGTGTGTCCGTCTCTTTCTCCACCTGCCGAAGTTCCTGCTGCATCTCGGGGTCGGTGGCTGAGTCCAGTGCGTGGTGCGCGTGGTCTGTGACAGCACGGCGTCGTCGTCCACAAGGCGCACGAAGGCACCTGCAGCCTGCAGCATCGCCTCGAACACGGGCGGAGAAATACGGGCTCTCGCCCGTGAAGGGAATGTCGTGCGAGTTGTCGCGGGGCACCTTCTGGGCAGGATCAGCCATGGCCTGGACGGCCTGCTGGTTCGTCGTCGCCGCTGTGAGGTCCCAGTCGCTGATCCGTACCACGTCATCGGGCTCGGGCACCAGCGCGTCCAGCACCAGACGAGCTCTCGTCGAGCACCTCAGCTGTTGGTGGAGGATGTGAAACTCCGTCTTGATGATCTTTACCTCTTGGTAGAGATCCTTGATGACCCGACGAACCATAGCAGGGGTCTTTGTTCACAGGGAGGTGCACGCTGATGATGAAGGTGGAGCTGATGGAGGCCTTGGCAGCCTCCAGGGTGGAGGCAACAAATATGGCGCGGGCGCTGAAGCTTGCAATGAAATGAACTGCCCGCCTTACCGAGCCTGCTCAAGGCCATAATGACGTGAGACAAAATAAATGCAGGAGGATGAGGAGGATGAGGATGAGGATGAGGATGAGGATGAGGATGAGGAGGAGAATGTTAAGTGTCTCCCTCCTCCTTCCTCGCAATCCTCGTCCTCCTCTTCGTCCTCACCTTCGTCTTCGTCCTCGTCCCTCTCGTCCTTGTCCTCCTCCGCCTGATCCTCGTCTTCATCGTCCTCCTTGTCGTCCTTACCCCCGTCCTCATCCTCGTCCTCGTCCTTGTCCTCCTCCTGATCCTCGTCCTCGCCCTCGTCGTCGTCGTCGTCGTCCTCGTCGTCGTCGTCGTCGTCGTCCTCGGGGTTGTCGTCGTCGTCATCGTCGTCGTCGTCGCCCTCGTCGTCGTCGTCGTCGTCGTCGTCGTCGTCGTCGTCGTCGTCGTCGTCGTCGTCGTCTTGGTCGTGGGCGCGGGCGGGAGCCGTCATGCTCATCGGCACCCCGCCGGGGCCGGCCAGGCTGCGCGCCTTGCGCGACGCGCCCACGGCGAGGAAGGGCGGCTCGAGCCCCATGCCTCCTCGCAGGGCGCCCCCTCCCTGTGGCGACGGGATCTATACCACAGCGCCCGCCATTGCCGATATGGTGGGTCATTGGACAAGGAACTTTTAGACAAGGAATCCAAGGTCTAGGAGCCAGTGGGATTCCAATCGCGGATCGGCCATGGATATCACCGCCGCCCTAATCAGAGCAGGAATCCTCCAGGGTCTGCAGCCGCTTAGGCACATTCCTCAACGAACGCCCCCACCGATACGAGTGCGGGGGCGGCGGGGTCGTCGGCAGTCCGCGAGGCTCTGAAGAAGCCCGCCGCATGCGCCGACTTGTCTGCACACACTGCGCCACGAGCCCGCCGCAGGCGCCGAACTCTCGCCGGAGAGGCGCGGGTGGGGTCGCGCGGGTGGGTTGCGGGGTGGGTCGCGGGGTGGGTCGAGGGGTGGGCGGCGGGCCTTCGGGGGTCATCCTCGTCCCCACGGCTGGGCGCGGCTCGGAGAGCTGGCCTGCTGGGGCTCCAGGAAGGTTCCAGGGACCGATGCCGAGCTGCCGTTGTCTCGGCTCGCCCTGCTCCGAGGTGCGGCGTGGCCTGTGGCTTCCGCGTCGCGGGCGAGGGCGACGGCATCGGCGAGGTCGACACGCACACCGCGGGCCCGTGCACGGACCGACCGCTCCCGCGCCCCAGGGCGGTGGCGCCCGCCCCGCCGGGCGCACGCACGGCCCGTGCCTGCCCGCGTGCGCGCCGCGCCTCGCCCGGCGAGGGGCGCCCCGCGAGGCCGCCTCGCGGGGTGCCTCTCCGCAGGGTCGCTTACACCTCGCCGAGGTCACCTCGCGGGTCGCACACCTCGCCGAGGTCACCTCGCGGGTCGTACAGCTCGCGAGGCACCCCGCGAGGTCACCTCGCGGGTCGTACACCTCGCCGAGGTCACCTCGCGGGTCGTGCAGCTCGCGAGGCACCCCGCGAGGTCACCTCGCGGGTCGTACACCTCGCCGAGGTGTACGACTCGGAGGAGCAGCGGCAACTCGGGACGCGCTCGCTGTCGATCACGTCGTCGTCGACGACGACGACGGCGACGGCCTCGACGGCGACGACGACCGAGAGGGTTTGGAGTCCCGAAACGGTGCGGTGACAGACCGTGCGGTGACCTCGGAACCCCAAGAGACCTCACCGCACGGTCCGTCACCGCACGGTCTTGGGACCCTGGAGGCCCCTGTCGCCCCAGACACCCTCGGACAGGAACTCGAGTCCCAAAACTGTGCGGTGACCCCACCGACTCACCGCACGGTGTGGTCACCACACCGTTTGGGGGCCCCCGAGGGGCAGAGGAAAGGGAACGACACCCGGGACGAGGACGAACCCGGAGCCAGGGGAGGGAGGACCGCAAAGCGACAAGGGACGGCCGCGGAGACCGCGAGGGAGGGCGGGGGCCCGTGCGGAGGCCGCGAGGGAGGGCGGGAGCCCGGGCGGACGCCAGGGACGGCGGGGGCAGGGCGAGGCCCGGGCGACCGCCCCGGGGGCGAGCGCAGAGGACACGGTGCAAGAATCGTTCGAGGGCCTTCGGGGCTACACGTCGTTCATGTCTAATCGTGCTCATTTCTAACTGTGCTCGTTTCTATTTGTTCCTGGTCCCCTAGTGGCCAGGAAGAGGCCCAGGATAGAACAATTAGAAACGAAAGGATCTTGCCCCCCAAAAATCAAAGACTTTTCGAAGAATCAGAAATGAGCAATGTGTATCCGCGGGGGCGTTCTCGGGCGCCGCGGCTATCAAAGATGGGCCCGGGGCGAAGAACTGCTCCTGGGGACGCGTTCGGGACCTCTGCGGATGAGGCACGTCATATCGGCGGATGTCAGGGTCTGCTATACGTGCGACGGGAGGCTTGGGAAGTTGATGCATGGGGACTGGGGGGACGCGTCGCGGGTCGTGCAAAAGCGTGGTGGGCCAGAACGGGCGGCGCGACACGCTGAGCAAAAATTGCTGGCGGTGTCCACCCCCCCCTCTCTCCTTCCCTTCCGTCCTGTCCGTCCTCTAGTGCATGGTGTGCCCTTCATCTCTCCCTCTAAGCTGTGCCACGGGGACACTTGGTCAGTGCACTGGAGGAGAGACACACGGGGGGACATGTCCCGATAGCGATGATTAGATTGATGTTGCCTGATCGCTGACCGGTCGAAATCTCATTGAGCCAAGAATTGTCAGTTCACGTCATGAGAGAGTGGCCGTCGTCTGCGAAATCACAAAGACAGGGGACCAGATATCCAAGCGGACCAGGAGTGGCAACCATCTGGCGCACGCTAGCACGAGGGATAGAGAGGTGACCACGATGCTGATTGACGATAGATGGTTGTGAAGGCAGTGGTGGTGAGGAGGGGGAGGGAACACCTTTTGCGTCGGCGGCTAGGCAGAAGGACTGCGCTGGGGAGTAAAGCAAAATGGGGCGCGCTAGGCGAATTCAGCTCCCATGCAGAGGGAAGGAAGAGACCGACAAGGCGCCGGCCCGGGAGGGGGACTAAGAGGAGCTGGGCCCGCTCAGAGCAGCACAGGGGCGTGGCGGGGCTGACGCCAGGGAGCCAGCGGCGGCGGCAGCCAGGGGGCTGGCTGCAGCAGGGCTGACGATACAGCAGGGGGGAGGAACACACATAAGGGGCAGGAAGACGCGGGACTAGAGTTAGGTCGGGGCTGTCCCTCTACAGGAGGATTTTGGACGAAAAATTAAAAACACTCAAAACATACCCCCCAAATGCTCAAATACAGTCAAACAATAGTCCCGAGGTTATTTTTGACTATTTTCGATTGTTCCTCCTGTAGAGGGACAAGCCCGACTTAAGATTAGAGATCACCGCGGAGGGACACCGTCCGTGAAGCAAGCCCTGCTTCCTCCGCCTGGCCCTCTCTCAGGCAGGCGCCACCTGCATCGGGAAGGCGCCGCCACCCGCGCGGCCCCAGAGGAAACCGAGGAGGGGGGACGACGACGATGACAACGACGACGACGACGACGGCGGCGGTTGCGACGGCGGCAGTGACGACGACGACGACGACGACGACGACGACGACGACGACGACGACGACGGCGGCGGCGGCGACGACGACGACGACGTAGCCGTGGTCCTGTCTGCGGCGGTGGGCCGGGGGGCTTCGCCGTGTAACTTCCAGCTATGTACACCTCCCGGTCGGGCGCTCTCATGCCGTCCCAGGGGCCGTGGTCGTCCTCCCTGGGCTCCTCCCTCGTTGGCTCCTCTCGCCTCTCTCCTGCCTCCCCCTCCCTCCCTCCCGCCCTCCCTGCCCCCTCGACCCCGCCCTTCCCTTCCCCCTTCCCTTCCCCCTCGTGCCCACCCTCTCTCCCTCCTGCCCTTCCGCTCCGTTGTCCCCCCTTCCTGCCCCCCTGTGTGGCGCGACGGGCCTGGCGACGCCCTGGCGCCCGCGAGTGTGGAACCCGTCGGTCACCCGACGAATCAGCTGAGCCTGCTGGATAGGAAGGGATCCAAGAGTGGCTTTGCACTGTTTGAGGCGCCTCGTCCTTAGGACCCCATCCCGCAGGACTCCTGAACCACCTGACTACTTGTGCGAGAGTCCCCTCCGATTGCAGCGGTTTGTGCTGCTCCTGCTGCTGCTGCCAGCGCTGATGCCCGCGCTCCGCCGCACAAATCGGCCTGGAAGTGCCTCTGACAGCCGCAAGCGCCTCGGTAGCCTGGCGACCAGCCTCCTCGTTGCGCGCCTGCAGCTCGAAACCCTGCTTGTGAAATGCCGCAGCCTGCTGGCATCGCTGCCGGCACGATTTGCCGAGCAACCCAAACTCTTCCCCGGAAAACTCGGGTGAATGTTCAACTGCGCCGTCTGCCGTGGCTGGCTCGGGCACGGCCGCAGCCGGCGATCTCCCGGCTGCGATCGGGTGGTCCAGCTCCGCCCTCGCGGCAGACGCCTCACCGACTTTGGCGCGCGGGGCGCCCGTGCGACTCCCCCTGGTGCTCCGCAGCCACTTTGGTCTGGCCATCGCTCGGACGTCCATTCCCTGTGTTTTTTTCGGTTTCGTGCGTGGTTTTTTTCGCAGTATGATCCAGGATGCTCCTCGATGGTCCTCGCCGATGAAGAAGTGCACACGTCCGGGCGATGCCAAGTGGTCGGGTTGGGACCACGGCAGCTCCAAATCGGTCCCCGGGAAGTCTCCTGGGGTCCAGCCGCATCAGTTTCCCGAGCTGCGTCCAGCCGTGGCGACGAGGGCCACTCCCGAAGGCCAGCTGCCGTCGCCTCAGCGCGTCCTCCTCTGACTTGGGCGGCTCCTCGAGCTTCTCCTGCGCGGCATCGGGCCGTCGTCGTCGTCGTCGCCGTCGGGGTCTGGCCGTTCGGCCGATCCCTGCTTCTCTCTGCCTGCCTGCCTGTTTCCGTCCCCTCCGCCTGGCGTTGGCTTGGTGCGAGGGTTTCGAGCAGCAGCTGAGCAACCCGCAATCGACAGCGACAGCAGGAGCAGGATGATGAGGAGGGGGAGGAGGAGGGGGAGGAGGAGGAGGAGGATCAGGATGATGATGATGCTGATGATGGTAATGCTGCTGATGATGCGTATGATGGTGATGCTGCTGCTGGTGATGATACTGATTCTGATGCTGATGCTGCTACTGCTACTGATGATGACGATGTTGATCGTGATGGTGATGATGATGATGCTAATGCAATGACGAGGAGGAGAAGAAGGAGGAGGAACAGCAGGGGAGCAAGAGGATGAGGAGGACGAGGAGTTGGAGGAGGAGGACCAGTGTAAACCCGAGACTCACCAACGATGCTGGAATACACCTTCCCTCTAAGCTCCGTCTTCATAGGCCCCATTCAAGGGTTTATTTGCACTGATGGAAGTGACCCGATGGGGGAGGACAACCGAGCAAGAATCTTGAAGCGTGCCAGAAGCAAAACAAAAGCCACACTTAGGACTTCAGCGCAACGAGTCAACCTGACTGTTGCGTCTAGACGATCCAGAACCGTGCCAGAACGCCATTCCTGGAACGTCAACACCGCGAATCTGAGCAACTTTTTCGCCGTGACTATCTTGAGCCGTTCCGGAACTCAGCTTCTGATACGCTAACCACCAGAACCAATCAGCGTCTTGCAATCTTTGGTTGCAGCGAATGTGCGCGGAGCAAAAGCGAGAAACACATTTTGAAAAAGAACCGCCCTCAATCTGTGAAACGTTTGCAGATGTTTTACATCGGATGTGCGCGGTGCTGAAGTGAAAACCGAAATTTGAACGGAAGCCACCCTCAATCGGTGGAACTCCTGCAACATGTGCAAAACGAATGTGCGCGGCGGTAGTGCGATATCCACATTTTGGCAAGGCTTCGCTCTCAACCCGTGAAACTCTTGCAAAGATTTAGAATGACTGTGCGCGGTGCTAAGACGAGGGCCACGTTTTGAACACAACCAACCTTCAATCCACGAATCCGCGAGCACCCCTGCCCTCCTCCTCCTTCTTCTCCTCCTCCCCCTCCTCCTCCTCTTCCTCCTCCACCTCCCCTCCCCTTCTCCTTCTCCTCCTCCTCCTCCTCCTCCTCCTCCTCGTCTCCTCCTCCTCTTCCTCCTCCTCCCCCTCCCCCTCTCCCTTCCCCTCCTCCTCCCCCTCCTTCTCCACCTCTCCCTCCTCTTCCTCCTCCTCTCCTCCTCGTCTCCTCCTTCTCCTGCATTCCTTTTCCTTATTCCCTACCTCGGCTCTGCCTAGAGGGTTCTTACTCGCTGGGCTTAAAGGGGCCGGGCAGGGGGCTCCGCCCCGGGCGGTTCCCCCGGTCCCCGCCCTGCGGTCCCCCCAGTTGCGCCCCCTTACCTTAGCTTTGCGTATCTCATCTTAGCTTAGCTTAGAATAGCTTCATCTTTGCTTCGCTTAGCTGTAGCTTAGCTGTAGCTTAGCTTAACTAAGCTACAGCAACAGCAGCAGCAAAGCAAAGCACTAGCAACGCAAAGCAAAGCAGCACGAAAGCAAAAGCAAAGCAAAGGAAAGGCAAAACAAAAGCAATGTGCAACAGTACGATCAGAGAGCCCACCCGGTGAGCGAATGCAGAAACAGGCGTGTGTGTGTGTGTGTGGGAAAGCAAAGCAACAACAAAATCAAGCAAAAGCAAGAACAAGCAAAAGCGAGAAGGAGGAGGACGGCGTTTACCGTTACTACTAATGCTGCTTTCCTAGGGGCTCCAACTCCTAGGTAGGGAATCACTCCTGCCTGTCGCACCCGGAGGCTAGTCCGAAGGGCGGGCCAGGCATTTCGACTGAGACTTCCTTACCATTCATGAGCCACAAGCACAACAGCTTGCAAACTACTTTCGCATGTGGTGGGCGGGCCGCTTCCAACATGTGGCTCTCGCCACAGCGCCGCGCACATTCGTTTCAAACGTTGCAAGTGTTGCGCGGAATTGAGGACAGGTCGTTTTCAAAATGTGGCTCTCGCCTTGGCGCCGTGCACATTCGTTTCAAACATTTGCAACAATTCCACGGATTGAGGCCCGGCCGTTTTCAAAATGTTGCTCTCGCCTCAACGTCGCGCACATTCGTCGTTTTAACATTTCACAAGAGCTTCACGGATTTAGGGCGATTCGTTTTCAAACTTTGGCTCTCGCCTCAGCGCCGCGCACATTCGTTTTCAAACATTCGTAAATGTGTAATGGGTTGAGGGCGGTTCTTCTTCATTGTTTGGCTTTGGCTCTCACCTTAGCGCCAGGCACATTCGCTTACAACAAGTGCGCTTTGGAGCGATTCAGAATTGTGAGGGCGCAACGATTACTTTGATACGCAGTGCCGAAGACTCAAGAACGGTGGTCTGGCACGATTCGGGATCGTCCAGACGCAAGAGTCAGGTTGAGTCGTGGCGTCGAAGTCCTGAGAATGGTGTTTTGGTGCGCTTCAGGATTGCGACTTCCCTCAATGGAAATGAGTCCTTGATCCATGGAGCGGGAGCTTGGAAGAAGGGTGTATCTCAACATCGTTGATGACTCTTTGGTCTACCCTGGTCCTCCTCCTCCTGCACCTCCTCTGCTTCATGCTCTTGCTCCCCCTGCTCCTCCGCCTCCTCCTCCTCGTGATTGCAGTAGCATCAGCATCAGCATCAGCATCAGCATCAACATCAGCATCAGCATCAGCATCATCATCATCATCATCATCACCATCACCATCACCATCACCATCACCATCATCATCATCATCATCATCATCATCATCATCATCATCATCATCATCATCATCATTATCATCATTGTCGACAACATCATCGTCATCACCATCATCAAATTCAACATCAGCATCATTATCATCCGCTGATCCTGCCTCTCCTCCTTCTCCTCCTCCTCCTCATCTTCCTCCTCCTCCAGCACATCCTCCTCCTCCTCCTCCTCCTCCTCCTCATCATGATCATGATCATGATCGGCATCCTCATCCGCATACTCATCCTCATCCCCATCAACATAATCAGCATCATCAGCAAAATCATCAACATCAGCATCATCATCATCACCACCATCAGCATCAGCATCATCATCATCATTAGCATCATCATCAACATCATCATCATTATCATAATCGTCATCATCATAACCATGACCATAATCGTAATCATCATCACCATAATCATCAGCATCATCGTGCGGTCGCTGTCGATTGCGGGCTGTTTTAGCTGCTGCTCGAAACCCTCGCACCAAACCAACGCCAAGCGGAGGGGACGGAAACAAGCAGGCAGGCCGGGGCCTATGAATGGAGATGCTTCCTTGACTCGGGCCCATGGAGAGGGAGCTGGGAGGGAAGGCATATTCTGACATCTCTGACGAGTCTTGGGCTTGCACTGGTCCTCCTCCTCCTCCTCCTCCTCCTCCTCCTCCTCCTCCTTTCCCTCCCCGCCCTCCCTCGTCCGCCGCGCCCTTGGTGCCCCCCCCGAGCCCGCCGTGTGATGCGGGGGCGCGCCCGGCGGCGGCGGCTGGAAGCCGCTGGGCGCGCACGGCGGCGGCGGGGGCGCCGGCGGCGCGCCGAAGGCGGCGCCCCAGGCGCCGTGGGGCGCGGGCGCGGGCGGGGCGGGGCGCAGCGGCGGGGGCCCTGCCCGCGGCATGCGTTTGGCCGGCCTCGGTCGGCGCGGCTTCGGCAGAGGGCTGCGGGGGAGGGGCGGGCCGCCGCCGCCGGGCCGAGGTGCGGCGGCGAGGCGCCGGCGGCGCTCGCGGCCCGTCGTCGTCGCCGACGCCGTCGCCGTGGCTAATCGCTGTCGTCGTCGCCGACGCCGTCGCCGTCGCCGTCGCCGTCGCTGCCACCGTCGTCGCCGTCGCCGTCGCCGTCGCTGCCACCGTCGTCGTCGTCGTCGTCGCCGCCGCCGCCGTCGTCGTCGTCGCCGCCGCCGCCGTCGTCGTCGTCGTCGTCGCCGTCGCCGTCGTCGTCGTCGTCGTCGTCGCCGCCGCCGTCGTCGTCGTCGTCGTCGCCGCCGTCGTCGTCGTCGTCGTCGCCGTCGTCGTCGTCGTCGTCGTCGTCGTCGTCGTCGTCCGCGGCTCGGTTCGGGCTTTTGCCCTCGGCCCTCGGGTGTGGTCTGGGCTCCCGGTGGCCTGTGGAGCCCGGGGGCCCTTCGGTGGGCAAGATCTGCGGGCCTGCTCCCCCTTGCTTCAACAACTTACGACCTGCAGTCTCGGGGTGCCCCTGTAGGAGGCCACATGCGAACCCTACCCCACCACCCCATGATTTCTACGGGGGGAGATGGGGTAGGGCTCGCATGTGGCCTCCTACCCTGGCTCCGTCCGAAAGACCCCCCCCCCGAGAGCATCCACAACGGATCTGTGGCGAACAACAAGTTGCCCCAGGGAAGGGGTCGGGACCCCTGGGGCTGCACAGGAGCCCCCGTAAGGCCCCTGACATGCCGCCGACAGCTCCCGAGAAGCCTCCGAGAAACCTTCAAGACGCCGCCAAGAGGCATTAACGACAACACCCAGATGCTTGCTCGCGAGAGTCCTCCAAAACGCCCTGGACAGGCATCCAGGGAGACCGTCTTTTGCATCCAGCAAGATACTTTTCGGCGTCGTCGTCGTCGTCGCCGTCGCCGTCGTCGCCGTCGTCGTCGTCGTCGTCGTGGTCGTCGTCGTCGTCGTCGTCGTCGTCGTCGTCGTCGTCGTCGGCGTCATCGTCGTCATCGTTGCCGCCGCCATCGTCGTCGTCGTCGTCGTCGGCGGCGGCGGCGGCGTCGTCGTCGTCGTCTTCGTCGTCGTCGTCGTCGTCGTCGGCGGCGGCGGCGGCGGCGGCGTGGTCGTCCACTGACGAGGCGCCCGACGAGGGCTGCAGAGGGCCGCCGAGGGCAGAGAGCCGACGCTGACGACGACGACGGGCGCTGCGGCGCCGCCCGTCGTCGCGCCTGGCTGGGGGAGGCGCGTCCGGGGCGCGGGCGCTGCGGACGCCGCGGCCTTGGCCTCGGCCTTGCGCTGGCTCCTGGCGGCCTTGGCCTCCTGGCGGCCTCCCCGCTTCTTCTTCTTCCCGCCCTCCTGGCCACGGGCCGGGCGAGGGATGGGGACGTTGAGCAGGGACCGACCGTCCCGGCATTCCTATAGTCCTACCACGAGATGTTCTTAGAACCGGGCAATGTTATGATAACGAAAACAATATTCTTAGAACGTAAGCCCGATGTGATAAAACAAGACAGTCCCAGCCAGAAATCCCACCAGCCCTCTGGGCGTCGGTGGTTTAACGAGTTTCCTCTTCCACCCCTCCTTCTTCCCCTTCGGGGAGGGGTTTACCCCTCCCCCTACCCCCTCCCCACTGACCTGGACAGGGGGGGCCGCGGGTAGTTAGAGCGTCCACGAACGACCCCTGGGAGGGCTAAAATTCGACACACCTCACGAGGATCGTGGCTCCTGAGGGGGGGGCTGAAATTTAGGAACCCCTCTTCTTTGATCGATTTCCTCCACGATGGCCGCAAGAGGCCCCCAGGATGCCCCAAGAGGCCGCAGGATGGCCCCAAGATGGCCCCAAGAGGCCCCCCAAGAGGCCCCCAGGAGGCCCCCAAGAGACCCCCAAGAGGCCCCAAGAGACCCCCCAGAGGCACCCAAGGTGCTCCCAGAGGCCCCAAGATGGCCCCAAGAGGCCCCAAGAGGCCCCCAGGAGGCCCCAAAGAGGATTCCGAACTGCCCACAGAGGCCCCCCCGAGGCACCCAAGACGCCGAAAAGCCCCTCAGGACGACCCTCTACTCGCCTGGGCGTCGTTTCTGGACGGGCTGGTGGGGATACGCGAAGCGTCTAGAATGTTCTAAGAACATTTCGTGGGAACCACTAAAAGATCTTAGAACATTGTTTGGTAGGACGATAGGCACGTCAAGACGCTTCGCCACTGCTTGAGGACGGGCCTGACGCCATGGAACCCGTGATGTCAGCCGGAATCGTCGGCACCCGGGTTAGGCTCGCCTTCCTCGTCAGGCGATGCTCGGGGGGGGGGGGGGGCAGGCGGATGCGGAGGGTTTACGAGGGGGAAGGGAGGAGGAGGGAGGAAGGACCGGCCGCAGCTCAGGCGCAGCAGGCTCTCCGAGCCTGGCAGTCAGCGGCATGTAGAGCGGAGGCGTGCGCTGCGCACGGTGGGGCATCCGTGAACTGGCCCCAAGGGGCCACCACAGCTTTGGAAGTACGACACATCTGAGCCTCATCGCGTCGGAGCGTTAGGATGGGCATGCCTGGCACAAGTGTTCTTTATCGGCAGCAGTGCCGAGGAAGGCCAGTGGAAGACGGAGGCGCTCAGAGGAAGGATGGAGGAAAGATGACGAGGAGGGAGGGCAACGATGATGGATGACGAGGCGGAGGACGCACTGAGGCGGAGGAGGAGGAGGACCAGTATACACCCAAAAGTCATCAACGATGTTGGAAGAAACCCTCCCTCCAAGCTCCCTCTTCACAGGCCCCTAAAAACGGCTCGTTTCCACAGAGGGAGCTGCCTTGCTGGAAGGCAATCGTTTGAAGACCCTGAATCACGCCAAAAAACTGTTCTCGGGATTCCAAAACCACGGCTCAACCTGCTTGTTGCGTCTTGGCGATCTGGAATCGTGCCAGAACGCCATTCCTGGGACTTCAACGCCGCGAATCAACGTAACCCTTGCACCGTCATCATCCTGAATCCTTCCAAAACATTGCTTCTGGTACGTTGACCATGCGAACCCGTGAATCTCATGCAACTGTAAAACAAGCACGAATGTGCGCGGCACTAAAGCGAGAGTAACCTTTTAAAAAGGAACCGCCCTCAATCCGTGAAGCTTGTGCAACAAAAAAAACGCGTGTGCGCGGCGCTGCGGCGAGAACCACATTTTGATAATGAACCGCCCGCAATCCGTGAAAGTCTTGCAAAGCGAGAGCCGCACTTTGAAAACGGGTGACCCTCGATCTGTGAAGCTCTAGCAAATCTCTTGAACGAAAGCGTGGCGCCAAGGCGAGAGCCACATTTTTCAAACCACTCGCCCTCCATCTGTGAAGCTGCTGCGAATTTAGATTTCAGAATCATAACTGGTGTTGAGCAAACCTCAAGCGAAACGAGGCGCCCACCCAAAAAACTGGCCTCGGGGTGCGGCAGGGAGACATTATGTGTAAAGCAAAGAATGGAGGAGGCGGAGGAGGAGGAGGAGGAGGAGAAGGGGTAGGAGCAGGAGCAGGAGCATGAGCAGCAGTAGCAGTAGTAGTAGTAGTCGTCGTCGTCGTCGTCGTCGTAGTAGTAGTAATAGTAGTAGTAGTAGTAGTAGTAGTAGTAGTAGTAGTAGTAGTAGTACGTCGTAGTAGTAGTAGTAGTAGTAGTAGTAGTAGTAGTAGTAGTAGTAGTAGTAGTAGTAGTAGTAGTAGTAGTAGTAGTAGTAGTAGTAGTAGTAGTAGTAGTAGTAGTAGTAGTAGTAGTAGTAGTAGTAGTAGTAGTAGTAGTAGTAGTAGTAGTAGTAGTAGTAGTAGTAGTAGTAGTAGTAGTAGTAGTAGTAGTAGTAGTAGTAGTAGTAGTAGTAGTAGTAGTAGTAGTAGTGG